CAGATGAAAGATGCATTACTAAAATAAAAAACAAAATAGGACAGGCGAAAACTGCATTTTATTTAAAAAAAAAAAAAAAAAAAAAAAAAAATCTTATGCAATATATCTTTGTCTTGCTTGCTACATACATCCAGTTTTAACATATGGCTATGAGTCCTGGACAATCGGTAGCCAGACCAAACAATTTTTTGAGGCCTCAGAGATGTGGTTTTACAGAACAATGTTTAAAATACCCTGGACAGCCTAAAAAAAGCAACCATTAGGTTTTGAAAGAGGCGGGGCCCGAAGACAACTATTCATAGACATCAGAAGGAGACAGTCATCATTTTTCGGCCATCTTATAAGAAGAGTGAAAATGGAACACGCGGTGACCACTGGAAATATTTATGGAAGGAGAGATAGAAAAAGACAACGAGAGAAGATTCTTGACAGTCTTGTTGCATGTCATGGAGGTGTGTCAGCACACGAACTGATACATGCTGCAGGAGATCGCAGATTGTGGCTAGGCAAAATAGCCAACACCAGTCGGCAAGGCACCTGATAATGATGATGATACACTATTCGTATTCGTATTCGGCCGAATAGTTGGTCCCACGATTCGTTTTCGGCCGAATAGTGAAAATCACTATTCGGTACAGCCCTAATTTAAATGCACCTTCATATTCTCGTTCGCAATATCTTCAATTTTATTTGGGCAGACACCCCGAAAGAACGAAAAAATGCATTCTCTCTCTCTCTCTCTCACACACACACACACACACACACACACACACACACACACACACATACACACACACACACAGATACACTTTCAAGTTTCTTCATGCCTTCTTTAACACAACAGTAGCGTTGCCTAAATCTGTCGTAGCGGGGAAAACTGCGACCCGGTTGCGCCTGCTGACTCCTCCGAGGCATTACAGCAGAGGCTCTAAAACTGGGTGCTTATGCCAGGGGTGCCGCGGCGAAAATCAAGAAAAGTCGGCTATAAATTGTGACATTATAAATGAGAGAGTTATTTCAGTCCATCGCAGTGTATGCAGAAATCACTATTCGTATTCGGCCCGACCGCCACTATTCGGCTGAATACCGAATAGCTATTAGGTCCACTATTCGGCCGCGAAGCGAATACGAAGCGAATATTCGGTACAGCCCTTTCACCAAAGCTAAGTTAATCGTTCGCTGACCTATTGTGCTACTTGAGTGCTTCACGCAAACATATAGGGCAATAAACACGATGACGATAGGTTTGCAAGTAAGGCTACTATGGAGGGCCGACGATCCATGTACCAGGCTGGTAGACTGAATGCTCTGCGAGAAGTTTGCGAGAACCAAGTGATGAATGCGAATCTGCAACCATGACCAGACTGCAAGAATAGCATGTTAAGAGGGGTGTGGGTAGACAAGAGCATTATGCAGGAAGCCAAAGAAGAATAAGAAGCCAACACAGAACTGGTGACTTCGGTCGCTACACGATGTGAGATTTACGGAGGAGGGAGACGAGCACATATAGACTAAATAATTCTATGTGTAATGAGGATAGTCTGTCGATTAACTAACTAACTTCGCATTTGCGATGACATGAAAACGGTGCTCCACTGAGGATAAAAGGGTTCAGCAACTATATCAAGATTAAAGAAATCAACGCAAACTGTCGCATGAATACAAGCTCAAATGTAAGGAACAGGTAAGAAAATGCATACAAATACTGAACTTATCTTCTTCGGCCCTTTATCCCCCAGTGGAGCAAAGGCCCTTGGCCAACAAATGTTAGGTCATCCTAGCCTTTGCTATTGCACACAGTTCCCCCCATGGCATCCCGATCTGTTAAACTTCACTCGCAGTTCTCTTCTGAATGCGTTTCTTGGTATGAATTTATTTCTATGGCCCCACGAGTCCGTGTACTCACTGGACGTTCTAGTTGACTGACTGACTTTCTACCCCACAAGGACATCACACAAGCTATAAACACCCGATGACACAATGTGTCACCATGTGGGTGAGGATCACCCTAGAGAGGTCAGAGAAACCGCGTTCAGTCTTTAGGACATATTTATGGCCAGGCTATATTGCGGCCCCTGGCAAGAGCCAGAATAGGGTTTCAAATGATTAAAAATTCATCCTAAAAAGGACGAGAAATTATAAGTGTACGTTCTAGTTGTGTTTATCTTGTTTTTAAATCACAGTCATCCCCCTGTGGGATGCAATTTTTTGTTATTTTGAAGCCCTCAACCTGGCCGCAATATGGCCCGGCCATAAATATGGTCTAATGACTGAACGCGGTTTCTGGGACCTATCCACATGTGATCCTCATTCACGTGGTGGCACTTTTTGTCATCGGGTGTTCATCAATTGTGTGATATCCTGGTGGGGTAAAAGTACTACTACTACTAATTTTTTTCTCAACGTGTGTCCTATTCAATGCCATCGTGTTTTCTTCAGCTCTTGATTCACTGGAACTTGTTTTGTGCTTTCCTACAGCTCCACTTTAGTTCATAAGTAACCGCTTTAGTTGTTCTCCGTGTTTCCGCTGCTAACGTCAGAACTATTTTGATATCAGAGCGAAATATTTGAGCTTTAGTACCAGTTTTCAAGTCGATTGACTTCCAAAAACTTTCTAATGCTATGAAAACCGTTCTAGCCTTTTGTATTCGTATTTTAATCTCTGCCAGTTTACCCATCTTCATCAGCATTACTGCCGATCAGTTAATGAATATTTTTATTATAATTTTTACGGCCTCAAGAGTTCCTCGCTTGTTTACTTCTGTGAATAAATAGGTGTATGGCTATGTCTTGAAGTGGAATATCACGAACGGGGATATCACGAAGAGGATTATTATTTGCCTGGCGTTTGCTCATTATTTTCTTGTCTTTCCCGAATGGATTTGTAGAGCTTATTGTTATGACGTCTGAACAAGCACATTTAAAGTATCTTGCATCTGATTTCCTGAGTGGAGTAGAAAATAAATATCATCAGCTAAGTCTCGGTCAGTTCTGTGGGGAGGGGGAGGAGGAGGGGGGGGGGGGGGGGGCTACATTTATTTCCATTTGTGTTGGTAGCTTTTGGTGTCTTTCTCATCCAGTTGATTTGCCAGTAGAAATGGTAGCTGCGGAAGGAATCCCTGTCACAGTCACTCCCTTGCTGTTATTTCAAAAGTGTCTTAAGTTTTTCCCTGACTTTTCTAACAACATTTTGAGCAACGGACAAAACAACAGATTTAAACAACCAAGGGTTCATGTTGACCTTGCAATGTGTGTATTTTATTTTTTATTTATCCGTTGATGAAGACTCATTGAACACGACGAAACATGTAAATTAGCAATGCACTTGTAATAAATTATTATGGGTGGTTGTAAACAACTACACGAGTAAACAAAACAAACACACAAACAGTATATTCCACAAATTATTATCATCGTCATCATCAAGTGCCTTGCCGACAGGCGTAGACGATCACGCTTTCCAATATCTGCGATCTGCAACTGCGTGTATCAGTTTGTGTGTTGACACCCCTCCATGCCATGACAAAAGGGTGGCTAGAATCTTCTCCCGATGGCTTCCTCTATCTCTCTTTCCACAGATCTTTCCAGTGATTACAACATTTTCCATTTTTCCTCTTCTGAAAACATAACCAAAACATGACGACTGTCTCTTTCTGAAGTTTGTAATAAGTTGTATTTGAGCATCTACCTCTTTTAAAACATCTCGGTTGCTCTTCTTAGCTGTCCCAGGAATTCAACGGATTCTTCAGGAAAACCAGATCTCCGAGGCCTTAAGATATTGTTCGGCTTTTAATTAACTGTCCAGCATTCACAGTCGTATGTTTAAACCGACCCTATATAGCTTACGAGAATTCGTTTCCTAATATTGAATGACCGGGATTTATTGCACAAAATGTTCTTCCCTTTATAAAATGCAGTTTTAGTTTGCCCTGCTCTGTTCTTTATCTATGTGACACATCTTCCATCGGATGTTATCCAGATACTGAAATTTCTGTATTTGTCCTAAAATAACGACTTTTATTATACATTTAGATACTATTCTTTTCTTGAAAATCACCATTACTTATGTCTTCCCATTATTCAAACTGAGGCCCATTTGATCACTTTCTACCACTACCATATCTATTAATTCCTGCAGTTCCTTCTGACTTGTCGCTATCAAGACGGTGTCATCAGCATAACGAATTAATCGAGTAACCGACCGACCGACCGACCGACCGCCCGACCGACAAATATATATAATAATACTCTTGTAATAATGTGACTTTTATAAACACATATCTTTAAAGAACATTTCTATATATGATTGAAGAGGGCCTTTTAGTTCTCTACAACATGACTGGGCTGGACTGGGCCAACTCCCAGGTTGTGGCGCCTTTGTCTACGCTCCCGGGTAGACCCAACTCAAAACAGGAACTAGGAAATATCTTGGATTCTTGACCACATCAAATGCTTATTTCACTATAAAATAAACACACAATTTACAATCAGCGAATCAGCCATGTGGACGCACCTGAGACAACAAATCACGTCCTCCAAGACTGTCCCAAATACAACATATCAAGGCAAAACTTTTGGCCAAGAGAAACATCGGTGCAAGTCAAACTTTACGGGTCACTGAGTGAATTACAAAAGACAGTCAAGTTCATACTAGAGACAACACCGCAGATATAGATAATCTATTTCAAGCGAACGAAGGAAGAAGAAGAAGAAGAAGAAGAAGAAGAAGAAGAAGAAGAAGAAGAAGAAGAAGAAGAAGAAGAAGAAGAAGAAGAAGAAGAAGAAGAAGAAGAGGAGGAAGTAGAAGAAGAAGAAGAAGAAGAAGAAGAAGAAGAAGAAGAAGAAGAAGAAGAAGAAGAAGAAGAAGAAGAAGAAGAAGAAGAAGAAGAAGAAGAAGACGAGGAGGAGGAAGTAGAAGAAGAAGAAGAAGAAAAAGAAAAAGAAGACTATACAATTATACTTGTACTATAATACCCAATGCATGTCAAAGTGTTGTAGTTTCAGGCAGAATTCCCTTTCAACCGAAAATTGATGTTTTTAATCCAGTCGTGCATGTCTTGTGCTGATGTTGATGACAAATAGAAAATTCGCCAGCCCATGTCCAACTTGAACACATAGCTTTGACTTGGATGAGTTAAGTCCTCACAGCATCCTTTACACTGGTCCAAATCCAGCACACGTATACAGTTCTTGCTTGACTTCTGTTTGAAATATTTCAGCTCATTGCGCTGTAGCACAAACCAGCGGGTCCGCCATGATTTTATGTGACCTCCCAACTTCGTCAGAAAGCCTTCTTTTGAGTTCACCGAGAAATTTATATTTTTACGATCCGATTCCTGGTCACCACAAAATTCTCCATGTAAAGTTACAGACTCGTATGTGTCCGGCTCTTCTATATCGCGCGGATATGGAATTTTTAACAAGACAACTTGGCCAGATTCACCAGAAAGGAGTGGTTTATTTCTGAAATGATCCACAAATTCTTCGGCAGACTTAAACGTACACTGGCCGAATTTAATCTCTGGACTTGACCAAAGAACTGGAAAATGTTTCACTGCTTGATTACATTTGACTGAAAGCGCATATTTCACGCTGCCCTTTCTACTGGGTCTTAGAAGATAGGTGCCGTCTGACCCGTTCTGCATTAGTATACTCTCTGCCGTATGCCTGGTTAGCGTTGGATGATACCATTCCAGGTTTTCAATCTCATCATTGACAATATTTTGCAT